ATGGGGTTTTGTATTATCAACCTTTTTTTTGAGGGGGGTGGAACCACACCCATTGGTGGTACTCAGGATTTACTCCTGGTTCTGTGCTTGGGGATCTCTATTGGGGGGCTCAAGGGACCATTTGGGATACTGGGGATGGAATCAGGGTTGGCCGTGTACAAGGCAAGCAGTCTACCTACTGTAGTATCTCCCTAGTTGATCCAGCATCCTACTATCCCACCTCTCCGGTTCTGCTACGAACTCTGAACTTTCCCGAAATAAAAGCGAAGGCTGGCCATTCACTGAGCTTACTTGGAAACACTCAACGCCGACAGCAGAGATCCTGTCTGAAGTCTTAGAGACCTCACTGGATTTCACAAGCACTTTCTGCCTTCTTTCAGCACTTAAGCAATAACAACCCCCAAAGTGCACCACCACAATCCCTTTGTTCCCAGGGATGCAGACTGCTTTTTCATTCCACATCTCTATGCTTAATACACAACAAAACACACCAGGCCCAGAACCAGGGGCCATCTACCACCTCAAGGTAAAGAAAAACCTCACATCCGCTTGAAAAGGAAACCCTCAAGATACACTGGTAAAAGGAGTAAAGGTGTTGGGACATTGTATGACCTTTGAAGCTCTTTGCCATTTCCTAAAATACATACCACACCAAAACACCACCCTTTGGGGTTCAGAATCTTTTTCTTGTTGGGTACCTAGGAGGTTAATGGGAAGTCGCTGTGTAGCAAAGCCTCCAGGGGCAGGGTCCCGGATGGCACCTCAACAGCCACCCCAACCCCCTTCAAGTTTTCCCAAGACTCAAACAAACACCAGCACTGAGCAGAACCCAGCTGCTTGGCACTCATTTTAGAAGGTGGTAGGAGGGGGAGTAAGAGAGCACTGAAATAAGAATATAAGTTTCAAAATGCTATTAGAGAAAGAAGTATGAGCTGCTTGTATGAATCCGAAAGTGGTACTCGGAAAGGCTGGAGAGACAGCAGAGGAACTAAGGGGCCACCGTGTACAAACTGGCCCATATCCATCCTGTTATCGCAGGTTTAGCCCTGCCAAGCCCCAAACACCGCCAGGACCCTCTGATTGAACCATCCTGGCCAAAATCTCTGGGAATAGCCTGCAAGCCCCATGAACACCACTTAGGAGCAGCCCTCCTCTCTCAATAAAAAGAAAATGCAATTGGAAAGCCTTGAGGGCAGAGTAGAATTCTGGAACTTGAGAACACCCCCAGATTTCTGGGGTTGGAGGAGGGAATAGGGGAAGCCAGAGAAGCAGGGAGATGAAGATTTGCTTAAGACACTGCTGGCTTTTATCCTGCCAAAAGCAACATCAAGACCTTCATGGTGGGGACTAATGTTCTTTCTTTTCTGTACATAAACAAGACACTGTATCAGTAACAGGAAATAAAATTTGTGGGGTCTACTTCTGAATATTTTTTTGTTCTTTTGGGTCACATTCGGCGATACTCAGGGTTTACTCCTGATTCTGCACTCAGGAATTAGTCCTAGCAGTGCTCAGGGGGCAACATGGGATGCCAGGAATGGAACTTGGGTTGTCCCTGTGCAAGGCAAATGCCCTACCCGCTGTACTATAGCTCCAGCCCTTGCTTCTAAATTTAAATATTATTTGACCAATCAAACTCAATGAGTTAAGAACATTTATTCTATGCATTCATTTTTCAGGCTGTGGTAACCCACATATCACATTTTAAAAAATTCAATCAGATTAAACTATCCCAACAGACAGCTTAAATTCCCATGTGAAAATTCTGCTGCCAATGGGCAGTGGAGAAAGAGATTTTCTTCACAACCTGTCACGTTTATAGTCTCTAATCATCACTAACCAACACTGAACACTTCTCTATTTCCAAAATAAAGCATCCAAAAATGATTATGAAATGGTTGGCTAAGAAATTATAATAAATCCAAAGTTCAGAGAAATTAGGAAGCAGCCCTGGGCCCATTTATTTTGAAATGTGTCTGATGAAATGCTGTGAGGTGACAAGGTTTTATTGAAGAGTCTGAATAACAAAGAATAAGGAGGAGCCAAGTGTCCGGGAAAGTACTGGGCATTCATCAGTCAACTTGAACTTGAACTACACTCTTCTAACCAGTGCTTAGCCCCATGAAGACCCAAGTGATGTATCACCTCTCATAAGAACACTCGGCTCCAAGTACAGACACCCGGGTCTACCCCATGGCACTGCCCTACATACGATTCTCCTGTGATAAGACAACGACCAATGCAAGGACCCCAAATGAAGGATCACTCCATCCCCCATTAGTGAGAGCTAATGGCACGGAAAGGGCCGCTCCCCCAGCCTCCCACCCTACTCCCCCATCTCCCTCTAATCCCTACCACCACCACATACAACCTTTCCCCCTCCCACCCCTGTGAAGAGAGCAGCAACGCCCAACGCCAGGGCAGACTTAGGGAGCCTGAGACACTGGCAGGCAGCTGGACTGGCATTAAGATTTCACAATGTGGTTTCCTGTGGTCCATACTTCCATCTTCTCCCTCCAGCCCCCGCTGAGCCCGACCTCCATCAAGCTCTACAACCTCAAGGGTCACTACAGTCCTTCACTCTCCCAGCTGAGCTATCGAAGTGGGTATCATTACCTCAAGGTAATGACATTTCCCATGCCCCAGGAGAACGAGGGCTGAAGGCACAAAAGATGAGATTTGGGTTGGCAGCTGTGGCTCGTGCAAACAGGGGTCGCCCCCAGAAATGTGGTGGGTGCTGACCAGGGGCTGCTCTGGTGAATCAGATGAGCAGAGGGGGAGGTATTCATCCCTTAGCCCTCCTCTCCCCCACTGCCCTCCTCACCAAAACCCATGTGGACTCTAGGAGAAGGCTCATTGCTAAATACTGAACAATGAGGTGCCAAGGGCCAAGAGGAGACAACTGTCCTGGTAGAAAACAGGGAAGGAGGGAACCTTCTCTCCCCTAATGATCATTTCCCACACTTGCTGGAGGGTGATGCTTAGCCCAGGGCCTCCAGGCCACACCCACTGAGGGCTACAGCCACTGGAACCACTTCTAAGAACTGTATCTTCTCTGTACACTCAAGGAGAAAAAGAGACTTGGCCGGGGAGATAGCAAACCCTAGAGCTTAGGCCTGGCATAAGCACACTTTTCCCTCCCCTCTGGGCACCAGCAGGACCCTAGGAGTAGCCCCTACTTTAAAAAAAAAATCAGAGTAAACGTTCCCAAGAAATTTTAAAGTGAATTTTTCTGTTGCTTTCAAAAATGTTTTTAAGGAAACAATGTGGGCAGCCCTACCAAGCATTTCCAAAGGCAGAGAGAAATCAATTCCTAAGCATTGGGAAGTTCAGAGAAGCCAAGAACCCAGGCCGACGGCCTTCCTCACTCAGCTCCAGGAACTCTCAACACACTCTAGGCCAGTGTTTTCGTAACCTTTGCATGTTGCTGGTACAGCATTTGCTTTTCTAGGAGACGCCTGCATGAGCATCCAAGCTTCCTACACAGTGCCTGTGTCCGCATCTCGGACGATGGCCGCCAAGAGTGACCGTCCGTTCCCTGTGGGCTGGCTCTGCCACAGATGGGGGGCAGGCACAGAGAGGGAGTCCCGTGCTGACTCTGTCACTAAGGCCGCGTGTGACATTGGGCAGTTCACTTAAGGCATCTCTGGGCCAGTTTCCTTTTCTGAGAGCACATGAGGCCTCAGTGGTCTAGTGGCACTGCCAGGCCTGAGTCCTGGCCCTCTAAGGGCACGTGCAACTGTGAGAACCCATTTACTATGGGGCTGGGGGAGGAGGAAGCTTCGGGAAAGAGTCAGTCTTCTCCCTACATCCCTTCTTCATAACGTAAACACGCCTGAGACTGTCACTAAAGAGACTCAAAACATAGTTTGATGGTAACCAACTCTGTGATGTCGATACACACATATACATTTAATATTCATAGAATAGGAGCATAGCTCATTTCCTAATACACAGTCATTTATAACAAACTACAAAATAAGGAGGCAGTTAGCCTGAAATTTGACACAAGGCATCTTAAGATTGTTCTACTTAAGAAAATTATTTTGCCAATTATAGAAATTACAAGGAACATAGAGGCAAAATATATTAATGGATAACACTTTGTGATACTTCAATTAAAAATACATGAGTTGTTTCGGGCTTTGCATAATCCTACCTGTCATGTGTTCATTATAAAAATGTCTTGCATAAATTATTTCTAAAATGTGAAGTCCAGCTCATACTATAAATACATAGCATGAGCCGGAGTCATGCTGGACTTATTAAGACTGTTCTAATAAGGCTGAGCTATCTTCTCCAGAGGTTAATTTACGAATTTCATTTTCTAAGCTACAAAGTCTATGAAACATACATTAAAAATATATGGAGATACGCTTTCTGTTACAGTTTTTTAGGACTGAAAACAAATGTTTCCTATAGTAATCCCCCGCACTTCCAAAGCCATAGAAAGACAGATTAAATTTAATAAGCCTTTCCAAGTTCACTTCTATTCTAAGTTTCTGATCAGCCCAGATGAACTTTTTCTGATGTTAGTGTAGGAATTTACTTTCCAACAATTAACATAATGGGAGTAGGGAAGGGAAGTTGCTAACTCACATCTCTGGCTTCCTCTAATTCCCTAACTGCATCTTTGACACCCCACCGCCCCTCTATAACTTCTTCAGAGAAGGGTTTAGCTACTTTCTTTTTCTGAATTGCTTAGATACCATTTCAAGTCTCCCCAAACTCTGGTAATTGGGCCCTACGAACAAGAGCCCGCTCTGACTAACCCAATGTGAAGGAACAGGACAATGGAAAGGGGTGAAAAAAATTTCCATCACAACCACTGAGGTCCACTCGCAGAACACAAATACCTCACAGAATCATATCCAAGAATTTTCCCCCAACACTATCTTTAAACAAAGAGGTAAAATGGATAAACCAGGCCTTTTTCCAATAAGAGAGCATTTTCTTCATTCCCCCCAAAATAAAGCAACTGTCTTTGTACGGTCACTTACAACGATGTGCGCCGGTGATGGTGAACGGGCGTCCTTGAGGGCTTGTCTGCTCTGGAGGGTCCCCGCCTGGACATCAAGCAGTGGCCATTTCATCTGGAGATACTAAGAGAAGGAGACAAAACCAACATGGAGAAGGGTGATGCGATGAGAAAAGAAATGCAGCCAACCAGCCCAGGAGCTATCTCTTGGGGTACATGCCACATGGATCAGAAACTGGAAAACTTAAAAAGCATGCAAACAACAACAAATCATGCAATACCAATAGGGGCTCCCTTAGAGTTCAGGTTCAATAACAGATCTATGCATGAGCATCAATATTATCTGCAATCACAGTTCTGCTGTGCAGTCCAACTCTGGGGTGATTTCAGATAAAAGGATTTCATTAATACTACCTTATTTAGAGGGGAGTGTAGGGGAGGAGGGAGTGGAGGAGGGAGAGGAGAGAGCAGGAAAAAAAAAAAAGGGCATCCCAAGCCAGGGCTAGGAGAATCCCGATATCAAATTTGCTCTTTGAATGATCTTCATTTCTAAAATGCCAGTGTCCATCATTTTAAAGAAATTTGAGTACAGCCATACAACTGTCCGTAGGCACAAAATACAATTCAGGTGAAGACAGAATTCCTTGTCTGCCACCCCTGTCCCCCCCCCCAAAAAAAAACCCAAAACACTAAAACCAATAGCACTCTCAGTAAAAAGCACAAACAGGGCACAATGCAATTTATAGATACATCTCCAGAGGCTCACGGAAATCCAAATCATGCACCGATTTGCCAAAGAGATGAAAATAAAGGCCCTGGTCATGCCCCTTTGTCTCCGCCCCTCTCCAAGGTAAAAATTAAAAGAAATGCATGGCACCTTGCAAAGGGGCTGCTTCAGTCAAAGGAGAAAAGAGAAACTCCTACTCTGAGAAGGACTAGAAGTATCAAGTGACCCAACACCCTGGAAGCACATGAGGGAAACTGAGGCGAAGTAGCCGGCTTACTCAGAGACATATTAGTAGATGTGGAAGCAACTCCTGGACATTTGACTTTTGTCAGCCACACTATACCAGTTTCACTGAGGAAATCTTCAGGCAACCAAACAAAATTTAAATGTGATGCTAAGATCCTAAGGTCATGCTTTTGACCCTGGGACCCTGGGGCGCACAATTCATAAGGTATCCCTTAGTGCAGAGAGGGGAGTAAGGAGCCATCTTGACTTTTCTTGACTTTTCCAAGAAGCCCAAAGCAAATTCTACAGATTTTTTTTAGTCAGAGAATATTGATGAAATGTCTATTCACTATGGAGAGAGACATCTGCCCTCAGGGACCTTCTGCACCAGCGAGAGAGCCAACTCCTCCACAGAGCAGAGAGGCCGCAGTGAGATGGGCAGCCTGGCTTCATGCCCAGGGAAGGGCAGAAGAGAAGACAGCACTTCTAAGAAAAAAGCTGGAAAAGGCAACAAACACAGGCTTTTTCAGTCAGAAAAGTTTCCACAAAAGGCAGAGATACCAGCGGCTAAGGTTCTTGCCTTGCACACTGCCAACCCAAGTTCAATCCCCGTCACCACCATATATGGTCCCCTGAGTATTGCCAGGCATGAGCCTTGAGCACAGAGCCAGGATTTAGTCCCGAACACAGGAGAGAGAGAGAGATGGAGGAGAGAGAGAGAGAGAGAGAGAGAGAGAGAGAGAGAGAGAGAGAGAGAGAGAGAGAGAGAAGACTTCCACAGAAAGAAAAAAAGACAGCAGAGAGCAGTCCAGAAAGAAAAAGTTTATCCCAACAGCCTGTGAGACAGAACGGTCAGAGCCATCCACAAACTCCCAGTGAGTTCCTCAGAGACTCTTCTGAGGAAATAAAAGGAAACTGAGAACTGGAATACCCCAGCTGCCAATGTGCCAGTCATTTCCCAGTCTCGATCTAGACAAGGTCAGTATAATTTCCACAGCTTGAGAGCCTTTAACTGAGAAACCACCTGTGGTGAAGAAACCCGGTGACTAGCAGCTGGGAACTCACCACAAGCTGTGGTTGCCTGTAATCCCTTTGCTTCTCCGACCTCGGGTTTTCCCATCTGTAAACTAAGGGGTGGTCTACCTGTAATGGGGTGTGGGTCAGTGGCTTCCCCAAACACTTAGAGACATCTAGGATTCTGCTCCATTGCCACAAGAAGAAATATGGCAGATAGCCCCACCCACCCACCCTATCCAGCACCCTTATGATGAAACCATTTCCCAAGACCTCCTTCAGGGCCCCGGATCACCTCAACTGGAGAGAGGTCCATGGCTCTCAAGTAAACATTTCCCTCAGCCCAACACCCCAAGCCAGGGGACTACGGGAATCTCTGAGGCCCTGGCTCGCCCTCACTTCTTCCCATTCTCACTTGCCACATAAATATATGGGCCTTTCTGGTCAAAACCACTCAATGGAGTCATTTCCTTGAGGCCAACCAAAAAGGACACCCACCAGCACTCATCACTCCATCTGTGGAAAACCTGTGGGGGAAAATTCGAGGCCGAGGCACCCTCCACCTCGCCCTTCCACTCCCCTCAGTGGGGAGGGCCCTGCCAACGGGCACGTTTTCCTTGTACCATCGGCAGCAGGGATTTGATTGTGGCCAGATACCCGCTCCAGCGGATCAGGAAATGTAGGCTTTGTTTGAGGTGACAGGCCTGCCCCGAGGACCCCACCCAAGACCTGTCATACCCATAATGCACTGTGAACACAGAGACGTATAATTCTTACTCCACATAAAAGCTTCATTGTGTGCCATATCCAATCTCCGCAGGCTACCTGCACCACATATTTTTATGAGCCTACATTTCAGCGCTCCGAGCCTACAATACACATAATTTTCAATTATGTTAGGGCAGCCCAGGATCACTGCCCATATAACATTACTGGTCGGAGGAAATGAGGCTCGGCCCCACTGCCCAGAGGGAGCTAACCAAATCCAGATGGTGGCGGAAGATTGGCCAGGCCCCGAGGACGCGCTGGGACTCCACGGTGACAACCTTGGCCTCTCCATCCCAAAGCCAGTTGATCTCACAGGATAGCTGGGTCCCCACCAATCCGTACCCATCCTGGGAAGCCGAACTGGCATGCAGGCTCGGGAGACTCCTTTTGGGGAAGTCAATAGGGTGTCGGGATTTTTGAAAGGAAGTTATTAACATCCTACAGAAGTGATGGGTTTCCCAGAACCCTTCATCTCCGACCATCGGTTCTTATTAATAGGGAAAATAAATAAAGGGAAGAGAAAGGAAATTAGGTACTATTAGAGCCTAGAGGAAAACCTTGCCTTCCTGGAGACGTTAAGCAGCAGGAAATTCTATTCTGTGAGGTACGAGGAGAAGTGCTGAAGAAAGAGGCTGCTTGGATTCACCGAGGGAGTACAAGGCGATGCCACATTTTCCCCGCCGTTCGGCTCCGTTTTCCATCCTTGGCAGGGACCGGGTGGGTGGAGGGGGTGTTCCCACCATCCCACTGTAAAAACAAGACCCGGCTCCGCTCACTCTTCCTTTCAGGCTGTTCAACATGGAAATTATAAATTGCCTACCAAAACATTAAACTTTTCAACAAACTCCAATCAAACAGAGCTGTGGGAAATGCTCGTTGAAAATCGTTGAAACGGAGTCCACTCCACTTCCATTTTGTAAACACGAATCATAATCACAGGGCCCTATTGGCCGAGCGCTTCCTCCGCGTTCAAAAACAACGCTCTGCTGATGGCCTATTAGGGTTTTTCACCAAATCCTAGTTTATGGCATGTCTCAGGGAGCCAGAGGCAAAGCATTGGATCTGTAGGCAAAGTATTGAGAGGCACACACCCATGGCTGGCAGGAAATCCAGGAGGCTGACAGATGTGTAAATTGTCAACGAAATAAGGACCCGTTTCTCCTCCTCCCACCATCTAGGAGTGGGGGAGGGCAGAGAGAGGATTCAATGGCATAAGCTTGACACATGGAAGACTTGGGTTCAACCCCCAGAACCGCATGAGGCAGGACATGGTCACCAGAAGGCCTCTTAAGGGCGTCCAAAGGAGTCTTAGAGCCTGCTGGCTCACAGGCACCCCAACCCCCACCCATGTGAACTCAGCCTCAGGGACAAGGATGGTGAGAAAGGCTGATCTCACCTTTGCCCCCTCTAGGCTGTGAGGCCTTGATGGAAACTTCTTATTAGAACAAGGAGGCCAGCCCAAGGGATGATCATGAGGGTGAGGGTGACAAAGTGACCAGGTCACTCTGCATCCCTCAGAAAACTCGGGGGTCACTCATGGGACATCCCTTCACCCAGACCAGCCTGCAGTGGGGTGTGGTGGTCACCCAAGCAGCCCACAGAAGACCAGGCACAAAGAAACCCAGGTCAGCATGAGGAAGGCTGGGCATGTGGAATTGGTTGTGCCTACATTTGTTCCTGGCAATTTTTTTTTCTTGGAAAGGACCTGCCAGTGTTCCCACCCCATCATCTCTGTTCCCGACTCTGCCGCTGCAACACAAAAGCACCCAGAGAGCTCCAGATCCACGGATGCAGGGGTCAAGGAGATGTCAATCAAATCTTGTGGACAGCAAAATGGAAATTGTCTATGATTTTCTGGGCTGGGAAATATTCCTCTCCGACCACTTAAAAACAATGAAACTCATTCTGCACTCGAAGGCCAGGAGACAGAAAACAGGAAGCTCTGGCCCATGGGTGCTCATCTGTCAGCCGGGAGTAAAGGAATAAAGACCCTTCACTTGGACAAACCCCACCCCAGGGGAAAGCACATCTGTGGCCCCAGAAGCAGGGTTTGGCACCGCTTGGTCAGAGGCTATTTGGTCAGGGGAAGCTTGGCAAACTGCTGAGTTCTGTGGCTGCGACTCATCACAAGGTCTAACCACCAGGCCACAGCCTCCCGGAAACTACTGCCATGGCTTTCCAAAATGGAAGCCTGAAAATCCCTGAGCGATTCCGACCGGAAAAGTTCCCCAGGCTCAAAGTTCGCACCCACTTCCCAGGAGACACCAGCAGTAAGTCACAGGTCGTACACCCCACAGAGAAGGGCTTCGGAGAGACAGTCCTTGGGGAGCTTGCAGCTCTCCCTATCGGAAACCACTTTCCAAGCACACAAATTCCTCTCCCCGGGGCTG